GAATTAAAAAAAGTCTAAAAGGAAGAAAATGGAAGAGACGTTTCCTTGTGAGATCATCATCTAAGTGTAATACACAAGGGATTCTAACATAGACCTACTGAATTGTGATAATAGATTTGGTTATACAATTCTAATTAATTTGAAAAACAGTTTAAGTATATAAATTTTTGTAACTTACAGTTGAAAATTCCCCACCCCACCCCCCTTTGAAAAATATATCTTCAAGAGAAGCTCGGTTGACAATTTTAAACAGTCACAATTGTATTGTACAGATACTTGATGATGAAAGGTCAATGGATGAGTGCTGACAATGGGCAAATATGTATGGACTGAAACAGCAACAGCAGGAATATTGGTTGACATTCTAATTTAATTTATTGTGAGCTTATTTGGCAATAAGAGGCAATGTATTTTTCCTGATCATTGCAATATCACATTTTAACATCAGAATCAAATATTTTGCAATATGTGTCAATATTATCTGTTTCCTGGTCATTACCATACCACACTTCAGATTAAAAAAAAAGTTTTTCTTGGTAAAACTGTACGCAATGTTAAAAAATTATTACATGTTTTTATTATGGTTTTTTTTTTTGGGGGGGGGGGGGATTTAGTCAGAGTTTGCGGCCAAAATTGTACATGGTACAAACATTCTGCCAACGTAGATGTGGTTAACCTCCGTGGATCAATTTATTAAATATAAATTGGGTCATTTTTGACAAACAGGAAGTGTTTTAGGGATAAGACAGAGAGAGAGAGAGAGAGAAATGGGGGTTAACGTCCACTCGACACAGACCAGGTCATTTCGGGACTAACATATGGTTTAATTTTATTTCAATAATTCGCTTGCGCGTAGGGGTCTTTAGCAGTGGGAGGAAACCGGAGGACCCGGAGAAAATTCACGAGATTGGACAGGCAACCCTACTCCTTGTCACATACAACTGGGGGACCGAAACCACGCCAGTTGACTCAATGACAGGCCTTATGATACAGCGCGCACGTGCGAACCATTCGGCCATCCACCCCCCTAGGGATGGGACGAAAAATAATCTCAGATTGCCTGTATCTCCGTATCTCGATTATTTCTCAACAGATCTTCTTCGGGTTTTCATTTTTGGATTCTTTGGACGAATCCCATATGAGCTCGGACTGACGTTTTTTCGAAATTCGGAAGTTTGTTCGATTAGTTTTAGCATCACTATTTGAGGTATCAAGTTGAAAGTAGGTAGGAATAAGGAACACACTGATGCCTTCAAAATGGCATATTAAAAAAATTTGTGACGGCTTCCATAAATTTCCCGAACATGAAGAGTTTTCTCCATTTTAAAAACATAGGGTCCACAACCTTGATATACCATATTTTTACGCTATTTGAGAACGAAGGGCAGCCATTTTGACTGTCGAACTCAGTCGTCCTTAGGGTGTAACAGTGATATAATATGTTTTTTTTTAAATCGGATAAAAATTATGACCTCTTTAGGGTCCACAAGCTAGAAAAGCGATTTTTCGTACAATCAGGGGCCATAATTCAGGAAGTTACAGTCCGATATGCGCGAATATCGAAAGGATCCGAGACTTTTTGGTTATAAGCATACATTTCAAGTTTAAACCAAATCGGATAAAAATTGTGACCTCTATAGGGTCCACAACCTTGATATACCATATTTTTATGCTATTTGAGAACGAAGGGCGGCCATTTTGTCTGTCAGTTTTGGGTCGATTTTCATGAAATTCGAACTCAGCCGTCCTCAGGGTGTAATGGTGATATAATAATACGTTTTTTTAAATCGGATAAAAATTATGACCTCTATAGGGTCCACAAGCTAAAAACGCGATTTTTCGTACAATCAGGGGCCATAATTCAGGAAGTTACGGTCCGATATGCACCAATATCGAAAGGAACCGAGATCTTTGGGTTATAAGCATACATTTCAAGTTTAAACCAAATCGGATAAAAATTGTGACCTCTACAGTGTTCACAAGCTAAAAACGTGATTTTTCGTACAATCAGGGGCCATAATCCATGAAGTTACAGCCCGATACATGCCAATATCGAAAGGAACTGAGATCTTAGGGTGATAAACCTATATTTCAAGTTTCATTGAAATAAGATAAAAATTGTGATCTGTAGACTGTTCACAAACAATTGTGTCCGGACAGGGGCGACGACAATATACGTCCACATGAAAATGTGGGTGTATAAAAAGTTTGGTCTTTAAGTATAACTTCTGGTTTTACTAAGAGTTCAAAATAACAGGGTTTTCTACTTTAATCATACTCCTCGCAGTGTTTCGTTTGATTAGAGCTAATCCCACTACTCACTGCTGTAAAGAAGGCAAATTCTTGTTCTAAATTATGACTGGTCAATAGTCCGATTAACAACCAATAGCTAACTGCGTAACAATACCAAACAGAGCTCCAAATTGGACCCAATATGTTTACATAACGTTACGTCATGACTCACGATTTTATTATGCCCAATTAACCAGTGCATAGCAGAATATTGCAGGAAAACTAATTGTGTGACAAATGAGGCTATCAGCACGAACATAATGTAAACAATACTATTTTGAGTCGAACAACACTTTCACCGTTTTTTATACCTTAAATCACTGTCAAAATTTTTAGGAAAGGCCCCTGATTAAAAGAAGGGTTGTCATGTTGCTGTGCTTGGGGATAGATTTGATTGAACGGGAAGAATAGACACGCTCCCTCAAAAGCGCAAGTATCAGAAGCTAATCCAGCAATGGCCAGAGAGGGATTTCTCGGGTCATTGCTTCAGGAATATGACTTTAGTAGGTAGTGGATATCACTTTACTCAATAGTTAATGGTGTATCTTGATTGTTGATGTGACAAGGCGTGACCTGAGTTACTGAAACACAACAGTACTCCTTCGGAGTTATAATTTTACATTTAAATCTAATTTGGAAGATATTTCAGAATTATTATTTTTATGAACTTAAAGTTAAATAAAGGTGTCTGCTTAAAGAGCTAATCCCAATAATTTTTTGCTTAATTTTGTTTTAAAATCCCTTAAAATCCTCTACCTAAGGGCCGAGCAACTAAATCCATATTTGTGATACATTTCAAACAACTTAAACCTGTCAATCTTCATCTAGAAATGGTGACTGGTGTCCCAAGCTGCATTATGCGGTATCTGGATAAAACCAGACATTTTATAAAAATAATGTCTAGGTGGAATTTACCATTCGTTTTCAAGTACAACAAATGGGTCATTCACTTTATAGACCATTCAAGGAACAAGAATCGATTATCAGGTCACCCAACGAAACAATTGATTCGAAATCTTAAAAGGGTTACGTGTCCGGATAAGCAGTTTTGAGGTTCACATCCAAACGACTCAATATTTTGAGCTTAAATTTTGAAACAAGGTAAATACGCCATTCCTCTATATTTTGGCGCTTAAATTTCATACGTACTCAGACTTTTATTTTTGAGACTGTTCAAATCGGGATAGTCCCTTTAAAATCAGTATCTAAACTCCAAATCACCATAACTTCAGTTTATCACCATAACTTTATTTGAATAATTTAGAGACTAACATGATTTTACTAGGTACACATACACATGTAACTGATGCTGGTCATAAATTCCATTAGATTTTTAGTATGTTGTCTGTTAAATCATTTCATATATTATTTTGTCTGTAGACTATATTTTTTTATCTAACAGATTTCTAATGCTATATATCATTAAAGTCCACTTTGTGTTTTTGAAAATTACTTAATTAAACTGACATGGGTAAAGATATGCTTACTCTTTGTATAACAGGTGGCACTATTACTCATTTGACTTGGATGAAGATAAATTATATGCATTCTGTAGCTGCTATTAGTATTATTGTCAATTTTTATCATATTGAAGTGTGTAATATCCAAATAATTGTTTCATATCCAAGGCATTTAAAACAATTTTAAGTAAAGAATTAGTCTAAGATTTAACTACATATTGATGCAACTACATATACTTCAAAATCACATATCATTCATTCATAATCATATTGCTTCAAATCTTAATTACAATTTATGGAGTTGTTTCCTGATAGTTTTTACGCTTTTAGTTTGAATGACAATTTGGAAATGATTTTAAGTGCTTTTCACATGTAGGAAACCTAATTTCATTCCAAGGCTTAAAAAAATTGACAGACGTATTATTTATTTGACATCATTTCTATAAGAGTTATTTATTTCTACAGTAACTAGATCACCAGAAAAATGGCTTCCCGTCAAAAATCATACAACGTCTTGTCTCAGTTTTCAAGTTTATATTTGGAAACAAATATTCTATATATGGCAAGCGTGAGGACATATTTAGCTTCATTGATTAAGAGATTAGGTCCACAAGATAGATAGAGAGCAAGCTAATGACGCAGGTTTTGTGTACTCCCGACTTGTGACAAGGAAACCACTATAATAAATGTAACGATACAAAGCTTTTCCTCCTTTCTACCTCCCGCAGATAGAAAGTCAATTGGTACTTTTATCGAATAAACAGTGTTCAAGACATGTCTTGTCGATATCGTCTTCTCCTGCTATGGCTTCCTTTAACAGTTTTTCTCTAGACTAAGAGCACTCTATATTATTAGTTATAAAACCATTCTCTTCTATGTCATATGTGGAGATTAAATAAATATAAGTATTAATAAAATGTCTAATTGTAAAATACTCAGAAATCATACAAATATCTATCAATTAGTTTGTAGACGTCAACTAATGTGTAGTTACATGATGCATTACATGTTGTAAATAAAGTATGCACACCTTAAAACAAATTAAATAAAGTATGCACACCTTTAAACAAATTAAATAAAGTATGCACACCTTAAAACAAATTAAATAAAGTATGAACATCTTAAAACAAATTAAATAAAGTATGCGCACCATAAAACAAACTAAATAAATAAACTGATAATTTGGAAAGTTTAACATTGAAATGTAAAATACCAGAACTTTTTCTGGAATAAAAATACGTCACTTACTGTTTTCCTGTATGAGTTATAGCTTTATATGAAGCATCATCCTCTGTTGGAAAAGCTACATCAACGGAACTTGATCTCATCTGTTTAGGTACATCCAAACGTCGATCATCCAAAGATCCTTTACGATGTTTTTCAGGACTTGGGATGGGAATAGCCATGTAAGCTGCATCTACAGATGAAGATCTTTGTTTAACCACAGGAACATGTAAGGTGACCACATTTTTATAATCTTTACCACTACTTTTACTTGGAGAAGGACTTGGTGAATGTGGCCGAATAATAATTGGAGGATCAAAGTCTTTATCACTTTCTCCATCACTAGATTGAGTATCCTCTAGATCTGAAAGATCTGTTGACGAACAATCACTGAAACTCCGAGAACGTCCAAACTGAACATTTGGTTTATCTGCATTGTTTTCGTCACGTATCTTATTTTCCTGAGCTATTGTTTCAAGATGTAGGCAATGCATACATAGTCTAGGAATGTCCAAGGATGATCTCCTTTTTTGATATTTCGGTAACTTAAGATTTTTACCATATTCCTTATCTGAAATATTTTCATCGGATGATGCACTCCAGGTCGAATTGTCAATGGAATGATCACCAGGAAATGGAACTTGTAACAAGTCTAGACTATTTTGCTGAAGGCTACTTGCATCAAAACTCGATGATCTGCCTCTGTTTTCAAAGGGCACTTGTAGTTTAGTCTCCTTAGGACCAGGACAGTCAACTGACGTGGATCGCTTTTGTTTCTGAAGCGGAAAACATAATTTTGGAATCTCAAAAGAAGGAGATCTTGATCGAGATTTTTTAAATATATTCATTGTCTATCTATGATCTGATACATACGCACATGATGGAAATATTGCAAATTAAATACTGTTGAAGTTTCCTATTTTTATACTGAAGTAATCTATTGTTAGACATTTTGTGAATCATAGTTTAGGAGCAAATTATAAACTGTTGAAATAATCTATCATAAAACATCATTAGTATTAACCATACTACTGGGATTTGTTGTAATCCATTATGTAACAGTCAAGGTGTTCTTGGTGTCATATATCACAGGAGATTAATTAAACCCAACAGACTTGTAGGTGTATTATAACAGGGCATTGTAGTCTGAATTACTGCATAATTTCCACATATGTGGTGGATTGTTTTCAGGAAACATAGGTTTTGTGGCTCTTCGGCTAAAGTAGAAAATAACTAAAATCAGAATCCATCAAAGATAGAAACAAATTTCCTGTTAGAAAAAAAAGAAATAAGTCATTTGTAATATTTCTATATAGACCTGTAAGGAAAAACATCCCGGTTTCGAAAAATGTCATAAATCATATTCAAAACTTATAGTCGAACACTGGTACTATTTTTAGGACAATGTTCTCAGACTCAATTTTAAAAAAAAAAAAAAATAAAAAATTGGATGATACATCTTTCTAAGAATATATATTGAGCAATGTAAAAACTATTAATCTGATACATTGATGCAGTTGTGTTACTCTTTAACTGAGTAGAAACCAAATAAAACTTCAAAAATCTTGAAACTCTTGTCAACCTTTGATATATTATCTTTGTAGGGCTTTTTTTTTTAATTAAAAAAACAGAAGATTTAAGAATGCAGGTCCACATTGATTCATTGTCCTGAATCTTGTGCAAAATTCAATAATAGCCTGCACATTACATACAGTGGCATTTATACATCACACATACACAAAAAAAAACTTTCAAAGTATGTTCCATAAATATTGTTTCATTCAACAAACTGAATTTTGTATCTTTTTCTGCTTGTATGTAAATCAGTATCAGTTTTCACCAAATCCTTTTAGAAAAGTTCTGTATTGAATTATTTTCATCACAATTCCAGATATAAACTGTGCAAATCTACAGCACACCTGTACTTCTATGCCAATCATTCTCTATAACTAATCAAATGTTAAATCTACTTTTAGTTTCTGAAAGTTAGTAACAAAATCCAATATTTGTTGTTTCTTTGAAAATCTAACATTTAGGCTGCATGTAATAATACAACATAGTATTGATAGGCAAAGAAAACTGCCCATTAGCAGTATTGTGAATGCAGGCAGCATACTGTGACATGGGCTATAACTTAAAACAGTAAGGCGACTCCTAAAGTGTTCTTCTTCATTATATACAAACAAACCCAGCAAGTTCCTTGAACAGATATCTAAAACTATAACCTCCAATTCACGATTTCTATGGCAAGGGTCAATAACTCTAGTTAAAGCATTGCACTACTCCGAATTTAGTGCATTTATATTGTTTTGGAGAACGAGGCAATAATTATTTGAAAATCACTGTGCAACTCTGAATTTAAATAGGGCTCCTCCTTATAACATTCTAGCAAAACAAATATTCATTTCATTTCTTAAAAACAATTACATGCAGAGGGTAAAACATAAGTGAATATGTTATACTAACTTTAACAACTGTCTTTAAATTTAACCAGGAATCAACAATACCCTTTTCACATAAACTATGTGGGCATTTTCAGACAAACCATTTAAGATTGACAGAATAATATATTCTTTGATTACACTGAACAATACCACAATCTGTTTTATTTTATGACAAAATGTCTGTCTGAAACTTGTAAGCACAAATTCTTCTATTTGGAAATATTAGTTTTATTTTTAGAATTGAGAATCTAGATCTGCTTTATTTAAGTGGTCTGGTCCATCATCTACTGATTTGTTGCATGTCTAATCTACTGTAATGTATGTTACCTATAAAATCACAGACTAAAACTCATCAAAACAGCTTACCATTATGCCTGTTGGATGTCTTTCATTAGACAACATTCATCCCCAAAAAAGTTGGCAATTGTTTTAAGGGTTTTGTCAAATAATTTCATAATGATGGGTCATCCAGATATAGAAAAAAGGATAATGACCACTTCTGTCATGACAGACATTATTACAACTAGTAGTATAAACAAAGGGCTTACATCACAATAAAAATTTAATAAAAGAAACAAAACAATATGGTTCTGACTATGATTGAATTTTTGTTTTTAATTATAATTTTTAATACAATTTCATACTGAATCACATTTAAATGAAAATTTTTTTTATGAAAGACATAAATTCTTGGAATGATTAGTGATCAAAATTTTACTAAATTATATATTTGAGAACCATTAATTTGAAAGCCTTCACCTTTATCTTGCACAATACTAGCATGCTACTTTATATCGCTCCTTGGGCCCCGTAAGAACATCGTGACATTTCAAGCTGTATTCCTAGTACTGATCAGAAGTAATGGCTACTGGGCTAACAAAAGTAATGTTAGTCATTTGGATGGCACAAAAAAATTATGTCCAAACAGGTACATGTTGGCATGTATGTAAAAGAATCCTTGACAATTGGAAAATTCAATTAAGAGTATGCAGAAAAACTGCTGTCTAGGTAAAATTCTCCTTCCTAGCATTGTGCAATATAAAATAGAAAAATAACTATGTTATTTTTGAAATGCCCAAGTATTGTGCATTCGTTCATTATTCAACATACCATTTGGGAATACTAAGCAATCCATAAACTGTAACATTTACATTTCACACTTAATTTCGGAATAATTACCTTTAATCACTACAGCAACATTAGCAGTGACAAGTTGAAATCTAAATTCTATTTAAATTTACTTCATGTAGCTCAGTTTAGTTTCCCATTTTATCTACATGCACAAGCAGTCATCAGAAAGAAATTTTTTAAAACCTTATGTGCATTATTGGTTTTGCGTGAAACAAGACACATAATAGTAATTAGATCTATTTACATTATTTTGAATATTTCCTGTTAAAAATAATTATGAATGACATTCATGTATTTTATGACATTCATTTACTTTAAGTCATGGTTTATTTTCCTTCTCATAGTAATAAATCAAAACACAGCCTGTTTGAACTCATTGAATGACCTAATTGCCTTATCTATTAAAAAAAGATTAATCAAAATTCAAATTGATAAAATATTCAATTCACGACAATACGAAAGACTTGGGAAATGTGCAATATATGTAAACAGAAACACATCAGATAAAAATTGAAAAGGATGTCATGCCATTAACCTAGTACGATTTATTGTATCCAGTTATATTTGCATTTAATGATTAGTTCCATCACATAATTAGTTCGCTCTATCACACAGATCAATATTATTAATCCAAATAATCAATATTCCCGTATATTTTATTGACAACCTTTAAATAACTATGTCTGCTATTTCCTTTACCCTCCAATACAGTAGTGAAGTAAAAACCCTTCGGTTTAACGAGTGCAACCATTATTCAAAAATATTCAAAAGAACAGACAATGTGTTACAAGAAAACTTAATGGACGACAGAACTATTAGGTATCAACTAGGCAGAGATCAACAACTTTCTGTACTAACTAAAATGTTCAGATGGAAGACAAAACAGTTAATAAGTTTATAAAATTTGAAGAATTCCTGTTAATAACTAAACCCAATTCCTTCATCAGCTCTTGGAGTGCGTAATAAGCTCTTAGTAATCAGTTAATTTATTTATAGTACACGATGGTACTAATGTTTATACTTATCATAAAGCTTTACTAATAAGTTCATACTGGTACTTAAGTAAGTGTACATTAAACATTTCCCTTCAAGTTCATAATCCATTACTGATGTGGTAAAAATTGCACTAGCATTAACCAAGTTGACTCTGTTTAATCGTCAGATGAGTAAATGGAACAAAAATCATTGCAGGAGTAATATCAATAAATTGCTAATCCAGTTGACTTAAACAGGCAGTTTTAAGTGATTAACACATACTTTTATGATCTGTTCATGTCACAACTGATCTCACTATACCCTTGTATAACCCTGCCATTTGAAGTATTTGGTCATAATTTATCTTAACAACCTTTCCATATTATGGTCTATAAATATTTATTTACATGCATCTTACATGTTTATTCTGAACTTTCAACTAAAAGCTATTATCATTAGAGAGGTTGATGAAGTGATAATAAAACAGATACCACTGATCACCTTCAAAATCTATGTGAATATAAAGCACAATTTGAAGAACTAGAGAAAATATTCTGATATATTCCTGACAGCACTACACAAACCAAGAAACATGTAAAGGGAGTCTGCCAGAAATCTAGTCCTGTCTAGTTCACAAGTCATACTATGATTGGGTTGATAATTTTTAATTAATAAATTTGTGTTTTACCAAAATATTATTCAAAATCATTCAAAATGGTATTTTTGATATTCAAAAAAAGAAAAAAAAGAAAGACAGATAAATCCTGTTGGGGAATGGGGGAATTGGACAAAATTAACCTGATGTTCTTCAACTGAAAAAAAAAATCCACTTGAAATGTGGAACAAGGTATTTGAGTGCCTTGCCTCTTCTATATAGTTAGATTAGAAATGAAATGACCATCAATTCAGTTAACAAATCAGTGGACAGATCTCAAACTTTGTACACTTTCTAATGCATAGTTTAAATCATGTGAAATTTCAAATAATTTGTTTACCTATTTGTATCAAGTAACAAACTTATGATTGTTGCTATGATAAAAATATGTTAAAACAAGCATTTAAAATATATTGACCAATAGTTGACTTTTATCAGGCCACGAAATTTCATGCGAACGATACCACTCGGTTACATGCGGTCGTACAAGCTCAAAAACATGCGACCGATTTTCTGGTTACGCAAATTGAAATATCAGTTACGTTAACAAATTTCATTAACAACTTTATTCACATTTGATCAATTTTTATACAGGATGACTTTGTGACACAGGTCTTAATTATTTGTATTATAGCACAAACTCCATTCATAAAATTCATTCATTCTTGGCATTT